TCTAGTATCTCTGTTTTTCTCTGTTCTCTGTCTTTGTTGTAAACAGCCGATGAACGATCGGAGTCTGAAAAAGTCTCTCTCCGGAAAAACGAACCACCCGGCGGATATCGTCGTCGGAGATGCTGATGAGAATTTAGATCTTTACTCAGTCAACCGTGGGACTTCTTTAGATGGTATGTCATCTATCATCGCTTCATTGACTTTTTTTATGGTTTAGGATTTGATGCGTCTTTCACAACATTTTTACATTCCAAGATTGCTTCTAAAATAAACAATTCCTTTTCGGTTGAACCAGGAAAACATTCTTTCGAACAAGTTATTGCTAAGCCTGAACCTGACTACGAGAAGAAACATGCAAATGACCCGTAAGTTATTCGATCAAATCCTTCATTTACTTTTTCTTTTTCCTTACAGCCAATAATTTTCCTAAAATAGATAAGAAGATTGTACATTATCTTTGTTTTTTTATTAGGCTTTATACCGTGTTTGAAGTTCCATTGGGAACTCTTTCAAGACTAGTTCTTGAAGCTAGAAACGTAACTTCAAAGCTTCAGTCCATTTCTACTACAAGGGCTGCTTCAAAGGTATGGTATGGATGCAACAAAATTAGTCATAATTATGTGTTTTCACTTATAACTAAAGAGGTTTCATGTATGATTTTCAATCTCTTTTCGCGTAGAGCGAGACCGAACCATCTTCAAAACCAACTCGAAGCAATTCAACAATACGTCCCTCTAACATTCCCTCATTACGTCCCTCGAACATTCCCACAATTCGTCCTTCCAACATTCCTACTTTAAGATCATCTTCGGCCCCCAAGAAGACAACAACAGCTTCAGCTTCTGTTTCGGTTTCTTCTCCAAAGAGAACTGTCTCTCGATCTTTAACTCCTGTCTCACGCAAAACACCATCAACATCTTCAACTCCTTCAAGAATCAGTACAACTACTTCAACCACTCCTACCTTTAGAAAAGCTGGTGACGCTCAAAGATCAAGATCTTTGACTCCAAGATCGAAGCCTCAGATAGCTTCTTCACCTTCAAGTAAGACCAATGTGCGTTCTGTATCTGTGTCATCACGTGGATGTGTTCGTCCTGATGCATGCACATCAGTTTCAGCTACAACACCTCGGACACCGCCAAGACTAAAAGAAACTGTCACTCTAGCGTTCGGTAGACCAGTGGGAACAACAGGGAATGTAAATTCGCCACGAAGGAACACCTCGCCGGATGTTACAAGAACCAGGCCTAGAGTGCATTCTGCTTCTTCTCTGATTCCTACATTTTCAGGCGTCTCACATACAACGGCAACTCCCAAGTCTGTAAAGCCATCTGCAACTGTTGCGGATTCAACGAGGCCATATGGAAAGAAACTGTCAAAAGCTTCGGTTCAAATGGCTATCAATCACTTGGTAATGTTCTCTTGTCACAACCTGAT